TGCAGTAAAAATTAGAATTATAAAAATTCCTTAAGCTGATTTTTTAATTTTGGGACCGAGGATGGAATATGATTTTTCGAATCGATGCGCACCCCTCCTACTTTATGACCCCTGCCGTACGGTACAGTTGTCACGATGATTATCTACAAGTACCAGGTATCTTAAATCATAAATCGACACAACCTAACAAGGTTATCTCTAACCTTAACGTACGCGAACCAAAAAGAGGCTACCTGTATGCTTTGAGAACATGCGAGCAACAAAAACGCGCACTTGCCACGGCACGGTGTCCGTCTGTTGTGGTACTTTTTCTAGCGTTCTAATAGTACTACTTATTGTTATTTAAGCACTTATTCTTGCTAGGAATAATGAGTTTTTTGAAGAAGCTCTAAAAACTGGCCAAAAAAGGTAACGGAGTCGAAGCGTGCCGTAGCACGGTAAGATGCTGCGAATTGGTTGGAACCATGCTATCATTCGAAGAATGAAACACAGACGAGCAAGTAAGCGATGGTCTAATGATTGTTGAGAGGAACAATCGAATCGATTCCAAACAAAGCGAAGAGAAGACTAGTTTTTTACGGCATTTGATACGACTATGACGACGGGAGCTATCATTACGAAGGCAGAGCTGCCACGGGATTTGCCGGGCCCGTCGGAGGAACGCTTTCTGGTTATCGTTTGCGAGCCAGATGGAATCAAATGGAGCTTGCACGATGGAGTGAGCTTCCATTACGCTCCCACCGTGTTCTGGACGTAAGTACCTTTGTTAAAATAACTGCAGCCGTAATATATTGGTAGTTGATTTTGTTTCCACTCATGAAACACTTTGCTCACGAAACGAATCCAATCGAATAAATACCCCTTGTTTTATGTTTTTCCCACTCGACTTGGCAATCGCAGGACACCCCACCTCCAGGACGAAGACCGCTCCGCTTCGCCCTGCAAATCGCTGACCCGCTTTCTCTGCCAGCATGCGTTGGCCCACATCTTTGGAGCTTCCGACTACCATAAGGCAACGAAGCAAAACGCCACCAAGACCGCGGCGAAACGAATGGCCCCGTCGACGACGATATATGTTTTGTCAAGCAACAAGCAGCACGAAACCGATCTTCTTTTTCTCTTTTCCGAGGTCCCTTCGCGGATTCTACGGTTCTCCGCCAGCGACTTTTTCGACGCTCAGGCGCTCTCCTCCGTGAAAGCAACGATCGGTCAGCTCGCAGCGATGCACGCCATCAAAAAAGACTACGGATCACCGGTGCTGTTGATGGAGTGCTCAGTCGCGATCGAGTACTTTGGACTGGATGGGAACTCGAAATTTTTGGGGGGCGGCGTCTGCGCGGGCATGCCCATCCGCTGCCGGTCCCTCTTTGACTACTGCAACAACCAGGATTTTCCCTCGATCGATTTCGAGCGATACACAAAGCTAACCGAAAAGGCAAAGAAGAGCGGGACGCCAATGTCACTCTTTTCTACCGATCCGTTCCAAAGGGTTGCCGCCAGCGCAACTGCAGAAATGGCCGGACAGCTGAGGAACATTGTGAGGCAATTTCTGGGACTGGTGGGTCCTACTGACGCTCCCGTAACTGTGGTGCTGTGTGGGGATGATACACATCTCACCCGTGAGCTCTTGACAGATAATTGCTCGTCGATAGTTGCTGTGGAACCGGATGTTGAGTTTCCCGGGCCTAGCAAGGTGACGTTTGTGGTGCGCAAGAACATGGCTGCCTACGGCGTCCAGCACCTGCTCTCGGCTAGCAAGGAACAAAAGGTACCCCTCGATGCCGACGACGAACTCCGGGAGGATCTGGTGGGACTGCGCGCGGCGTTCATCAAGGAACCTGGAAATACGAAGATCCACCGAGGTTCCATTACCCGGGTGGTGCGGGGGGCAGTGTTCGAAGAGGATTCCGTCATTCTCTTGTTAGACGAGGGGGATAATGTGACCCTGGACCTCATAAAACTGTATGGTACGCACATGCATATTTGTGACGTTTTGAAGCCAGGCTAGGTATTTCGCGCATCGGGTTTCGTTTCGCTGTTTTCTGTACCCCTTGCGACTGGGCGGCGTTTTGGTAGCGCGCAGTGTGTTCCTGCTCTGCTCTTGCTTGTTCTAATTTATGTTCCCTTTCTCTGTCGTTGATTCTGCGCAGATTGCTTGTCTCTCTATCAGGAAGTTGGTGAAGAGAGCAAGATAGAGAACAAGGAAGTTTGGGTTGGGGAGAAACAGCAAGCTTCGACCAAGGTTCAGGTCGAACTCGAGAAAAAGAATGAGGTATTCGCGACGCGCAAAACGATACTGAGCGAAGCCAAGGAGAAGGAAGGATCCATTGTCAAAATGGTGGCACCTCCGGAGAACGACAAACGAGGTGCCAAACGGCCGAGACAGAGCCCGAGCCCGAAACCAAAGAAAGCGTCGAAAGAATCCCCCGAAAAATACGTTGGCCATCGAATTGCAAAATTGTTTGACAGTCCAAACCCGGATGACGAGGGCGATATGGTGCTCTATTTCGGAAGCATCGACAAGTACAATGGGGAAACGAAGCTTTGGCACGTTACTTACGACGACGACGACGAGGAAGAGTTTGACTTTGACGAAGTGCGCGATGGAATCCTTCTCTGGGCCAAAAACAAGGACGATGACAAGAATGCTAAATCATAGTGCACAATAGACCGGGAACACACAAATAGCACAAAAAAAATTGATACAAACAAAATATAGCAAGCGATTTCATTTGGATTTTCTCGTATGCTGTTGTATTAGCAACATGAACTCGTAACAACTTGTCCCGGTATTCAGGAGCTAACGACTCAATCGATTCCTAGGTCCTTGAACTTTTGCAGAAGCGGATCTTCACGAGACAGCGAAAAATCCGTATCGGAAATCGAACCCACAAGATCGGAAGAGTCCTGGCGGGCCTTGGCGCCAACGGCCCTCTGCAACATTGCCTCCACCTCCAACGCACGCTTTTGAAGGGCGTCAACGTTGCGCTCCATCACCTCGATGCGGCTCTTTTCCTCGGCACACCGCACCAGAATTGTTTTCAGGTACTCCTGGTGCTCGTGTCGTTTCAGCAAAAAGGATTTTGCCTCCTCTTCCTTGCCGGCCGCCATGGCCTCCTTGGCCTTTTCGTAGCTGCTGTTCGCGTCCTCGTCGATTCTCCGGGCTAAAGTCTGCTGTGATCTCAGGCTTTCCCTGGTGGCTTCCATTCCCTCGAAGGACTGCTCGAGGGCGTACCCAACTTCCTCCGCCGCGTCCAGCATCTCCTGGGTGATTCCCTTTTTGCGCATTTCTTCCTTTCGCGCTTGATCAAAGGCCTGCTTGGCACCGAGGTTGCTCCCGATCGAGGCCCCGAAGAGGGCACCAAAGGGTCCGCCGACGAGACCCCCCAAAATTGCGCCCGCGGCCACACTCCCACCGGAGGCGGAAGCTTTCTGCCGGCTTTTTTCGTCGATGTCCCGGCGGAACTTGTCGTTTTGAAGCGCGGTACTTGTGCAACCCAAAAAGGGCGCTGGTGGGCCGGCGACAAAGCTATCGCAACGCTGCGCCAGTAGCAGCAGTCCGAGGAGAGAAGTAATGTATAACAATGAGATCTGGTGAGCAACAACCATCATTTTTAAGGCATTCTTGCTGCTTGTCCTAGGTAACTCAACTTTTGAGCCAATTCCTTCAGAGGTTTCTTTTCTGACCAGAATTTTTGTTTACCCTACCGGTAGTACCGAGATCTTCGAGATGATGCCATCGTAGTACAGTATTCTTGAAGTACGAACCGTACGCACTTGGTACCCTACTATCTCGTTCGTACTACAGTAAGTACGAGTAGCATCGCATGCGGTCGAGTCTGTGCGGTAATCGTCTAGTTACTCAGTTTTTGTCGAGTAATCGCGCGCTAGATTACTGCGCATTACCAAAAAAATCGAGTAATCAGTTGCTAAGAAACATGTGTTATTTTTTTGCAATATTTGTTGCACCTCGACAGGCTGCTTCGTTACTTAACAAAATTAGTAATCACGATACAGTAATTACTGAAGTGCAAAAAATTAGCAGTAAAATAAAATGCCTTGATTCCCAATTTCACCGTAGAATTCTACAACAAATTTGTACCAGAATGATAATTTAATTGAGTTTTTGCACCGAAGAAGCAATAGCTCCTCCTCGTATCAGCGACTCGTATCAGCGGACACCTGCACCGTATCAGCAACGCTCCTCCGTATTGAGCGTCCTCCGTATCAGCAACGCTCCTCCGTATCAGCGTCCTCCGTATCAGCGTCGTCCGCATCAGCGTCCGCATCAGCGTCCTCCTCGTAGTTCCTATTCTGGCAAGCGCGATCGATTACCAGCGACTCGTATCAGCGGACACCGTATCAGCAAACCCTAGGAGAAGAATCTACAGTGCGCATTCGTGAAAATTAGATTACTGTTCCATTTGACCTTGATTACTCGTTGATTACCCGCGCGCGACTAATTGCTCGACGATTATTAGACATAAAGTACGGTACCGGTACCGCATTTTTGCAACCGATATTGCAAAACATTCAAAATTGGTGCGCAACGTACTAAAGCTACAGTACTCTTACTGGACCCACTCTATATTCCACCGTACTTACATGTTCTAAATATTTTGTGGTAGGGATTCTACTGTGCAACCGTATTAGCTTTTCCGTTTTGGTTGCATCCGTACCTATTTTGGTTGCCAAAAAGAGTCAAATTTGTATGGAAAATGCAACCGTTTTGCAACTCCCACTCAAATACTGTATTCACTCCCGGAGACTCAGATTTTTCTTTGTACTACTATTCAGTTCTTTGCTCACGAAAATGAAGCTCCTAATAAGCAAATCAGCAAGCAACTGATACGGAGGCTCACTGATACGAGTCGCTGATACGGTGTCCGCTAATACGAGCCGCTGATACGAGCCGCTAATACGAGCCGGTGATACGAGCCGCTGATACGAGCCGCTGATACGGAGGATGCTGATATGGTGTCCGCTGATACGAGTCGCTGATACGGAGGATGCTGATACTACGGAGGATGCTGATACGAGTCGCTGATATGAGTCGCTGATACGAGTCGCTGATACGGAGGATGCTGATACTACGGAGGATGCTGATACGAGTCGCTGATACGAGTCGCTGATACGGAGACTCGCTGATACGGTGTCCGCTGGTACGAGTTGCTGATATGAGTCCCTGATACGAGTCGCTGGTACAAGTCGCTGATACGGTGTCCGCTGATACGAGTTGCTGATACGGTTTCCCCTGATACGAGTCGCTGATACGGCGTCCACTGATACGGTGTCCGCTGATATACGGCGTCCGCTGA